TCCGTCCTAAATTGAGTTACAAAATTGACATTTTTGAGTCACACAGATTCATTATATTCACTTAATTAGAATATCAATTTTTATTTCAATTTTAATTTGGATTTTGCAATTTTGTAGATTTTAATATAGATAGAGAGAAATTAACTTTACTATGGGTTGATAAAAGATCATTTACTTTGCAAACCAATTTGGGACGACAATAGTATTTATTTTTTAATTCAAAATGTATTTATATTTTTAATTATTTAATCTTGATATATCATTGAAAGCACGTATGAAAGGAAATAGGAGTAAATCATAATGTATTTAATAATAACACATAATTTGAAATTTATTTAATATTTTTAAAAGGATTAGAGTTTTTTTATACATTACCCATTTAAAAGGGGTATACGAAGTATAAGAAGTATACTTAAGCAGTTCGATTGAATCTTATAAGAAGTATATTAAGAAGTATACGAAGTATACTTGAGCCTGAGTATATAATTAAGGACAAATGTGTCCAATGAAGATTAGATTTAGCACTTTTGGTGGTGCGGGAAGCAACACCCATCACAAATCATCACCCAATGCAAACCATGGTGAAATGGGGCATCTTTAAACCCAAAAACATTTTTAATTTAAATAATGTTGTCTTATCAGCTGATCCTACTTGTTTTTCAGGGGCTAATAAACAGTTAAAATTGTGAGAGGCAATTGTTGAGTAATTTAATGCTCTTATTTCTAATAATACTTGGGATTTAGTACTGTTTGATAATACTAAAAATGTTGTGGGCTCTAAGTGGATTTATAAGACCAAGTACAATTCTGATGGTTCCATTTAGCGTCATAAAGCTCGTCTGGTTGCTCTGGGGTTCAATCAACAGGCAGGCATGTGTAGATTTTTCCGAAACATTTAGTCCAGTCATAAAACCCACCACTGTTTGTATTGTTCTTACGTTAACTATTTCTTTTGGGTGGTTATTCGTCTATTAGATGTCAAAAATGCATCATTACATGGTCACCTCACTGCGGAAGTTTATATGCGTCAGCCGCGGGGTTTTATACATCCTTTGTTTCCTAATCATTTGTGTAGATTGCGAAAAGCCATTTATGGTCTTAAGCAAGCCCCGCGGGCATGGTTTCATCGCTTTAGTAGTTTTCTGTTGTCTCATTATTTCACGTGCAACAAGTCTGATAATTCATTATTTATTTACCGCCATAATAATACTGTCATTTATTTGTTATTATATGTACATGACATAATTATTACTGGTAACTCTTCTGCTACAATTACATCTTTTATTCAACTTGTTGCTAAATACTTTGCTATGAAAGATCTTGGTGATCTTCATTATTTCTTAGGAGTTCAGGCAGTGTGTTCCACTAAAGGTTTATTTCTTTCTCAGCATAAATATGTGTCTGATTTACTCACTCGTTTCCATCTTCACACTATTAAATCTGTTCGTACTCCTCTTGCTACTCGCACTTCTCTATCCCTCACTGATGGGGAACTTCTGGCAGATGCCACTGCGTATCGAAATATGGTTGGTGCGTTACAATATTTAACCTTGACACAACCTAATATTACCTATGATGTGCATTTAGTGTCTCAATTTATACATGCCCCTCGTACTACTCATCTGATTGCAGTCAAGCGCATTTTTAGGTACTTGAAGGGAACTCTTGATCATGGTTTATGGCTTCAGCCGACTATTCGGGCCACATGTGTTATTGCATATTCAGATGCTGATTGGGCAGGCTGTCCAGATATGTCTCGTTCCACGACGGGTTTTGCAGTATTCTTAGGACTCAACCTTGTTTCGTGGAAGTCTAAAAAGCAGCCTACCGTTTCCAAGTCCTCTACACAAGCAGAGCATGGAGCAGTTGCATACACTGTCCAAGATACATTGCATATTCGTTCAGTGTTGTTTGAGCTTGGTTTTCCGGTTACCGTTCATGTTTAGCTTTTTTTGATAATATATATGCTTCTTATTTAACTGCCAATCATGTTCAACATGCTCGTAGCAAGCACATTCAGATAGACTATCATTTTGTCAGAGAGCGTGTGGCGCACAGAGACTTAGTAGTGAAGTACATCCCCACACAGTTACAATTAGCTGATATTTTTACTAAAAGTCTTTCTAGTCATGAATTTCAATTTTTAAAAGACAACCTGCGCGTTGTATCTCCCACACAGTTTGAGGGGGTGTAATAGAATATTATTAGGATACTTGTTTCCTTGTATGTCTCAAACTCTTCTATATAATTATATCTGTCAGAACTCTTATTAGAGTAACCTTTTCCAAATTCTCACAGATAACACTAAAACTGACTGTATTGGCTGATTCTGCTGATTCATGAAAAAATTATATTTAAAATATTTGTTATTAATAAATAAAAAATTATATGAGAAAATAGTTAAAATGATCATCTACAGTAAATTCAGCCAATACAACCAAAAAAGTAACTTCAATCTTACTTTTTCTGTTTATTACACAATTCAGTGCGTGAAATCAAATGTTACGTGTTTGGTGAAAAAGATGAATGATAAGCCAAAAAATGAGCCATCAAATGGGCTCTTAAATTACACACAAACTCTTAACAAGGTTTGCTCGAAAAAATAACTTTACATATAAAATATTTATTAAAGGACTACATTAGTCCGTGCCTCTAAAAGAACAAATTTATGGCATGATGCCATACTACTAGGGATGGACCAAACCGGCCCGGCACGGCCCGAGTAAGTAATGGGAGGTTTGGGCTTTGACCCGGCCCGGGGAGAGCGGTTCGGGCACGGTTCATGAAATAGGCGGCCCGGCCCGGCCGGTTCGGGCCCGGTCCGGGCCTAACGGCTAAGTTAAAAAAAATTAATAAACCTATTAAATCTTTTGGTGTATTTTAATAATGCAACTCAAACTTTTAGTCATGTTTATAAACCTACCGCAAACCAATTTTTTGTTGAAGTTGTTAATCTTGCCGACGCTTTTTGTGAATTCGCTGATGCCGCTTACGTTAGTTATTTTTGTGACTTCATGAAACAAAAGTTTTTAAAATATTATTCCTATATTCTGCATATATAGTATTACATTTATTCTTGATCCTCGTTTTAGACTTGCTTCTTTGGAGCAATGTTTAGATTACTATTATGCATCTTTTTTTGGTCCATTGCCTATGTACGACAAGAAAGTCATAGACCCGAAACAACAATTCCAAGAGGTTAGTAATTTATTATATCAATTATTTAATGAGTTTCATGCACAATATGGTAACGCACCCCCTCCCCCACCACGAACATCTTCTTCATCTAAAGGAAAATCAATTTTGAAATCTGCATTTGGCAATCTTATGAAAAAAGTAAATCAACTCCGGTTAATGAACAAAGCTCGATCAACGAGCTTTCTTTGTATCTAACATTTCCTGTTGAGTATGAAGAAGGGGATGACTTTGACGTTCTTCAGTGGTAGAAGGAAAAAGAGAGAACGTTCCCGATCTTATCAAAGATGGCTAAGCAAGTGCTAGCAATGCCGATATCAACAGTCGGTGTGGAACAAGAGTTTAGTGCGGCCGACAACGTCCTAACGGATTATAGGACGAGATTGAGCGCAAACTCTCTTGAGACGCTTGTTTGCTTTCACGATTGGTTGAAGGCCAAACGTAGAACTCAAGAAATTAGCATTGAACCCACCCACCACTGGAAGAAACAATCGAAGATGGCGGAAATTCCGATTGATTCTTATTTATTAAAAAGTGTATTTCATGTTTTAATTTTTGCTCAATATCCAACTGTACTACATATTTCAAATAAATATATTTTAAATTTTTTATGTCCAAGTAATCTTAATTTAATATTTAAACAAAAAATAAATAAATAGCCCAGCCCCGGCCCGAACCGGCCCACTACCCGGCCGGGTAGGCCCAACCCGGACCGGACCCGGTATCACCCCAGGCCGGTTCTGAGCCCATGTTTCTACAAAAAAAGCCCGCCCGGGCCCGGCCCGGGTCCATCCCTACATACTACACTAGCTTCTTTCAACAACTAAGTCAACAACCATCAAAACAAACAAAAATGATATTTGTACACACTCTTATACACACTTTTGTACACACTTATATCTGTGAAAACTTTTTTTTGTCTGTGAACATCGAGTCACAGAAAATGTTTTGCACAAACAAAATGATTCACAGACAAAAAAAAGCTTCACAAACATGGTGTGTATAAGGTGTGTACAAGGGTGTGTACATCAAGCATGGTTGTAAACACTATGTATTACATATAAATATGGATGTATGTATGTATATAGAATAAATAAGAGTAGAAGTTAATCTCTTGGTTAACGTGGAGTGTTGAGTAACTAACACCGATGATTTAATGGCGTCTTTAAATGAATCAATACTTAAAATTGTTAACCCTTTAAGCTTTATGAGATATAGTCGATTGCAAATAACTGGGATGAGGTTTGAGAATTGGGAGACAGGAGTAGCCCAAAGACAATAGTATAAATTGATAATTTGTACTACGTAATTGAAAAGAATAAAAAGTCTTAAAAGCTAAAAATGTGAAGATACGTGTTTTTATTGATTGGGCATCAAATGTGTTGACTTACACAACCATCTCTACTTAAATATCAAAATTAAATTTATATTCTTGTTTAAACTTGTTTGGCTCCGATCAAGACTTTCTATTTACGTTTTAAAATTTTCATATTGTCGACGAAAATGAAACATTGGGCCTAATTATTCAATCGAATTTATAAATAAAAAAGAAGCTTACTCACATTACATATAAAGAAAAAAATTGGGTCTAATTCTCTTTTTATTTTTTCAGGCCTAGGCGATCGCCCTTGCTGCCCTCCCCCTAGAGCTGCCCTGCATATTACTTGAATTGGCGGTAGCCAGCACAGATGTTTTTAATTGGACTTATTTCAGTCCTAGACAAAATCAAACTAGATGAGATCAATTAGAAACATTCTAACAACAATACGGCCGAGAGCACCTTAGAAGTTAAAAATAAAGAAAAGAGAAGAGAATGATGAAGAAACCATTGACAATTTTATTATTCATTCCAAATTCAGCTCTTGCACAGTCGGATTTAATGAAGGGTTATCATGAGCTGGGTCCATCCCAAATTGATAGTAGAATGCCAGCAAAGTTACATGATTTTGAATGAATGCATTATATTACAAGGGATACATCATACATATGCAGCAAATTGATGCATTGTTGTGAATGTTACAACAGACAGCAGCTTATGATCAATAAATGAACCATTGTATCATCTGAAGACTCCAAGAGAATGGTTGACACAAGTGAACCCACCATCAACCATGAGGTTCAACCCACTGATATACTTCGCCTCATCACTGGCTAAGAACAACACCGCATTGGCGACATCAGGTGCAGTTAATTCCACACCCTGCAAGTTTGCATTTCTCTCCACGAAACCACGGAAACCTTCCCATGCATCGTCAGTCCTCTCTTCCACAGGCAAGTGTGCGAGAGCCAGCCCCGTGGCGACAGCATAAGGAGAAACACAGTTCACGCGAATCCCATGTTTCCCAATCTCTGCAGCCACATTCTGAGTCAGGCCCAACACGGCGTGCTTGGAGGCCGTGTAGGCGTGTGGGCCCAGACCAGCCATGGCACTCGAAACGCTGCTAATAGATATAACGGAACCCTTCTTGTGTGGGACCATCACCCGTGCTGCATGTTTCATTCCAAGGAAAACTCCTTTCACATTCACGTCAAATACCTTCTCGAACACGGAGAGCGGGAACTCACGGATGTCTGGGATTGGTGGGCCTGATATTCCGGCATTGTTCACAATAATGTCGAGCGTCCCAAACTTGTCCACTGTGAAGTCAACTGAACGGCTGATGTGGTCTTCTAGGGTGACATCACAGTGGATGAAGCATAGAGCAGCGTCGTCTCCCAGCGATGTGCATAGTTGCAGACCGAGATTGTCTTGAATGTCGGCCACACACACTTTTGCACCATGCTTGTGAAACAAACGGACAATGCTCTCTCCGATTCCACTGGCACCTCCGGTCACTAAAGCAACTTTTCCTAATAATCTGAAAAGTTAGGAAGCAATTCAAATTGATCATACAGGAAATCAAACAGATATTTTGGGCAGGGTGCCATAAGTGTCAATGTCACAAAGTTGGAGAACTAAAAGTGGAAAAAACTCAGACTCAACACATGAACGCTAGTTCAGCCGCGGATAGGTCCCCATTCAATAACTACAATTCCATTTAAAACAGGACTACAGACGGGGTGACACCATTACGTTAATGGACTTAATGCTATACCAAACTGAACAATTACATATATAATCTACCATATAAGTGGCAGAAAAGATTTCACAGTTGGATTGGGTTACTAAACTAGGTCATGAAACACTCAAGTCAAACCGCACTAAAAGATTGAAACTTTCAATTACCATGTACTCCGTACTACCTAAGTACTAGTGTACGACTATTTCACCCATCATATATTCATATATCTGTAAGTTAGCTAGAGACATCCAGCAACTAACCACAGTATGGACGACTAAAAGGTAAGCGTTTAAGGGAAAATCTGTCCTAACAAATAATAATGCTTATTCTTAATCTAGTTTTTTTACACAAGATGAGTTAGTTTGGTTGTTATAATATCTTTGGTCTGTGTTGTGATATTATTTTGTTGTTGAAGAAATGCAATCCTTCCATCTGTCTTGACATTATTAAACCAAGATTTAAACCTGATGCTAGTTCTTGCAAGTACCTTGATCATCCATATCTGTCTCAAATGTTTTATGATTACCAGAAGAAAACTAGAGACTACTTTGTTAAAGGAAAGTAGGAAACAAGCAGCTAAGCAAGGATCCATCCACACCTAGAAAGACCTGGTAGTTTTCTACAAAAAAGTTGTGTTTTCGTGTGTCCCAAGATAATGACTCGTTAGAACATTAATGGTATTAAGAGTTAGATATTCAGGAGGTCATCATGATAGGAGCAGTGCTATACTCCATATTAGTTTAGGGTGACAACTCCAGTACCCATTTAAAAAAATGGGGTATCGTACCTACCATTCATTTGATTGGTCCTATCATTTTTAATTTAGAATTAAATAATTCAACTGCAACACTTTCATTGGTCTATGTGCACAAAGGTATGGTACTCATATCTACCTTAGTTTAGTTATGTTATATTTGTTCGATTTGAGATGTTTTTGTTAAGTCATCACACCAACCATAACCATATATAAAGACATAAACTCACATATAAATCTTTTCATAACTAGTTAAAACCCCAATACCCTCGAAGAAACAACTAAAATACTTGATCCTACTAAAGTAATTCATTCTATTTCACCACTTAAATACAAGATCCTAATAAGACTAAAAAAAAGACACAGATTAGAAGACACTTTCACACTGAATGCTAGCTCTTACTAGATTTGGCCTAATCAACTACGTTTGGCTTCCATAAGTAAGCATAAAAGACTCGGTCTTGCATATGGCTAAATCGCAGTTCCAATTGTTTTAGCAAACAAAGCATATAGAGACCTCTTAAGAGGGAAGAGGGCATAAAAAAACAAACTTCAACAGGACCCAAATTTGCTTTAAACTGAACCTATCAGATGAGATTGTTTAGCAGAAGAAACTTAAGAAAGTGTTGTAAAATGAAGACAAGTGTGGAGCTGGTTAGTTAGTTACCTTTGGCATTGGGTAGGAAGAGAAGCTCCGCAGGATTCTTCAGGTGCAGTAATGATGTCCGTCATCACTCAATAATTTTCACTTAGTGGAAGCTGAATAACAAAAGAATTAAAATTTAATGTAGTGGTACTGTAATACTGCCTGGTTAAACAATATTGGGACAATCTTATGAGACTGTAAATTTGTTGATGGTGAGGTTGGGTGGACATTGAGCTGTATCATGTGGCTTGGATTGTCTTGGCTTGATTGAGAGAATATCCTTAATAAGAAGAAAAACAAAATGTCTGGACAAGTTGCCCTGTTTGAGGAAAGAAAGGAAAAACTTGTTTGTTCCTTTTGAAAATAAATCATTGTGGCTCATTAACAGGGTGTGGACTAAGGAGTCATTATCACACCACTATTTGATATAAATAAGCAAAAATACAATTATGATTCCTTGATAATGTTCATGTGGCTGGTATTTTCTCCTCAATTCTGACCATATTATGGTCATTAATGGTAAATGTATCTCATTTTTACCTCATCCTCTTATATGTGGCTATAAATGGAGCAATTCATTTAAGTGGGGCGCACTTAAATGAATTGTCCCATTTATGGCCACACATCAGGGATGTGGTAAAAATGCATTTTTGGGTACCTTCTAGCAAAACTCTATTATGGAACCTTAAGTGAAAACTAGATGTTGGAATGACTAATAATTACACCATTTGTTCCAAATTGATTTATAAAGTCAACTTTTTTAGTCAAACTGTTACATTTTATTAACTTATTTAAGATATCAATTTTAATTATATTCTGATTTGGATTTTGTAACTTTATAGATATTTTATCTTATTTATGAATATATAAATTTTAATTAAAATTAAATTAATTATTAATAGGTAAGATTTAACTTTAACTACAAAAAAATGACTTTCCAAATCAATTTGAGGAGGAAGCAGAAGGTTAGAACTATGATGTGAATATGAAATGTATATTTGATATTGGTTTCAAAAGCTAACTGGACGGTGCAATGGGAAAATCTAAAAAAATGACAAAAAAATAAAAGTTGCTCCTCTTTTTTAAAAATAAATAAGCATATTGGGTTGAAGTATAAAAAGAAAATAAAAAAATAATACTTCATCCGTATTTTATAGTCTTTATACGCTTTTTTAAGGAGATTAAGAAAAAATAGTTGTAGACAACAATGTAGAAAACGTAAATAAATATAAATATATGAAACTCCGTAGGCGATAACAAATGAAAAGGTATCATCCGGTATGCAACCCTATAGATGAAAAGCCAATTTTGAGGTTTTGACCCTCAAATATACTGCCAACCCATGGAGGTGGGAACCAGACACCTCATTCACGGAGAGAAGACAAGCGCATCAGCATCTTTTGCGCTCATGGCATTCCACCTGTGTAGCACGGATACGGGTATGCAAAACACGGAAACAGGTACCGGGATACCACACACAAAAAAGTAGGATACAGATATGGGGGATATTCATAAATATTAAAAGTTATGGGGTGTATTTATAAATATTAAAAATTATGGGGGTGTATTTATAAATATTAAAAAATAAATTATAAGCTTTTCTGAAAACTAGATTCACACTCAGGCGATGCACGGATAGTTTTAAATCAAATAGAATTCATGAACATACTAAAAAAATAAAGGATATTGCATATCAAAAGATAAAAAATTTTGGAAAGAATCAAAGCATATCATCAACAATTTATGAAAAATATAGATAGTATAAGTTAGGGTACAAACCAAATATTATAAAATGGAGTAATACATATAAAGAAATGAAATATAAATTCTACAAAATACTTATTATTTTACTAAAAGTTAAATTTTGTAGCAAAATAGAAGACTACTGAAAGGTGAATGCACATTTTAAAACAACATTCACAATGTTATTGTCTGATTATCTCATTATTCAAGCGATTGTCTCTACTATGTATATACACTCAACACAATATGCGCATCTCTGTCACCTTTATGTTTTGGATGTGACAATGTTTCATTGTCCAAACACTCTACGTCATACTGTAAATTTAGGGGGAAATAATTTAAATAACCCAAGCTTTGAAATGGTGTGAGGTAAGCACCCCTGATAGAATATATCCTCTTAGATAGAAGTGAGAGCTAGAGAGAGAAGTGCAATGAATGATATATTAAATGATTTGTAAACGCTCTACAACTACCCCCAAGGGGAGTATTTATAGAGAAAATGTGGGCTGAGCTCTCAAGTCTTGAGCTTGGGAGGCCCGATTACAATTAGGAGTGGCAATTTAACCCGATTCGATGGATACCCGCATCAAACTGAACCAGTCAAAATGGGGAAAACCGCTTTGACTGGGTAACGGGTACGGGGCGGGGAATACCCGATTTATGTAAACGGTTAATGAGGCGGTTATGGGTTTATACCTTCCGCCCCGTTACCCGCCCCGTTTAATTTGGATATGGTTACCCGCACCATTACCCGACCCGCACAATAATTTACATATTATAATAGTTTATGTATTTATTATTTAATATATTAAGTATATATAAATAGTAGGCCTTTTTTATCAATATTACTACTATCATACGGATTTCCAAGAAAGTGATTAGTGTTTAAAAAGTCCAAATATATGACTCTGAAGCAGTTAGAGACCACCGAAATAAAAGGCTAAAATGTAACTCCCATCCCAGCGTCACTCAATTTTAATGCAAAAAATGGAAGTTTTCATTGACGATATATTACCATTTATGTCATCCTCAAATGAATGAAATAAGTAAATGTGAATCGTGACTAATGCAAAAACATTGCTCACCCTGCAACTCAAGTCAAACCTTGTTTTAGTGACTTTGTTATGTGGGGTTTGCAGTAACTAAGTTTAGTGACTTTGTTAAGTAATTGATAGTTAGTTCATGGCCTCGCAATTACATGTACTAATCTATACGTTGGGTGTAAATTCATTAGTTTAGTTTAGTGACCGACTAGTTTAGTGACTTGGTTAAGTAATTTACTTTTTTTAAGTAGTCACTATTTAGTGACCAGTTTACGTATTTATGATGTGAGGAGCATAGCGATAGTTTGTTCATGACCTCCCAGATTTAGTGACTTTGTTATGTGGACACCATATAATATCTAGTGACTCCAACCTCTTCACTTTCGATGGTAGTGTCGTAGTCACTGCTAAACCCGATCACGTCTGATGATAACGACTTTAGTCACTGCTAAACCGTCGCACTCCACACCACAAACCAATCAACAACTCTACCTCTTCCAATCAAAGAACCACGGTCGCTCATCCAAAAACCCATTTTAGGTACTTTCCTGCAATCAAAGCCGTCACCATGCACCCACCAAGCCCCTTGACCCCCTGCTCCTAAAACTTCTAAACTCACATTCATCGAACAACACCGATGAAGACGAACAATCTAAGACTCTGGATTTGGATCTAGCGGCGGCGGCGTTTTGAGCCTTTTGGCAAAAGAAGAAAGGATGGGGAAAAGATGAGCAGAGTTGTGGTTTCAGCAGCGGGTGGGCAAAGCATCTGCGGCGACGATCGTTAATACATAGGCGGAGATAGGCGGAAGTGTGGTAAATAGAGAGCCTTGTGTGCATGATTATTTCCAAAAGCTAAAATCTTTCATTTGAATGCATAATGTGAATACAGAGGTTCAATTCCAATTTCCAAGTAGGAAGGTTGAATGCATAAAGAAAAGGACGGAATATATGGGTGAGAGAAACTCTTCTTAAATGATTTACACCTCAATAATAAATGTGCTTAGTCACTTTTTTGGAAAACATATAAAGACTCATATTATTGGAAATGAAAAGACTATTAGTAATATAGGTGCCATTTTTTCTAAATAGTAGTACATTAGTATATGACACTTATTCCCTCTAGTTTTTTGAAAAATATTCAACTAATCGGCTATCCTTTGCATTTCTGAGGAGTTGGTGCTCAAAGTTCACTATTTTAGATTTTTAATTTTCAATATCATTCATCATCCTTCCTTTGTTAACTTCTACATGATTTATTTTCTTCACATATTGATTATTTGTTTTTCGTGATTTTCTGTACACAATTTTCACATTGTGACTCTCTTAATTTTTCACCCAATAACTTTCATAAAGCTCACATATGAGTTTAAAGTCCACATATTGAGAAACATTACTCTAGATTGCTTTAATTTATATAATTGCTAATAATTTTGTAGAGGTGTATTGGATGATTATATTAATTTTGATTGGTTGCTCTAATTTATATCAAGTTTAAATTTAAATTATGATGTTTCTAAAACAATCATAGTGTTAGAAGTACATTTTTTAGAAATAATTCCAAATCTATAATCAAAATAAAAGTTGTGGACGAAAATGCGACTCTAGTAACTTTAGTATTTATAATTTTATTCAAATGTTATATCGTAGTGACTATAAAACTTACCCATGGTAACTTTTAGTCACATTTATGTCCATATATTTTTTATTAGTAATATTTTAGGAAAAAAACTTTCCATTTTCATTAATTTTCATTATGTTGCTTGTATACATTACTGTTCTTAAATTTAGATGTTGAATGATGGTGGGTATGACTATTGACTTTTTGGAAGTTAAATGTGTTTCTGATTCATATTTAGATTTTACTATCGAGACAAGACTTAATCTTTTGACGTTGATGTAGTAAGAGATTCAGAATTTTGAATCTAGACATATATAATTTGTGAATATTAGGTTCAAACGATTATAATTTTTTGTGATGTTTAAAAAAACTTTATCTATGGTGCCATTTAATTTTGATTTTTTTAATTTAGGTGGTCAATTATAAGTAGCTAATCATCATTTTAGGATTTATACTAATTTTGAAGAAAAAAAATTATCTTTTAATAAAACGGTTAGCCGCGGGGAAACCGTTACCCGCGGGGAAAACCGTTACCCGTGGATAAAAAATACCCGACGGGTAACGGGGCGGTTTTGGGGAATAATATTATCAAACGGGGCAGGTACGGGTAATGGTATACCTGACCCCGAACCGCCCCGTTGCCATCCCTAATTACAATGAGGCCTCTATTGGGCCGAGTACAAAGTATGTAAATTGGATAAGTATGGAATCCAGTTCTGTGAACTCTTTGTGGCCGACGGTGGTCTGGCCGACGGAGACATGGCTGACGGAGACACCTGGTTCTTCTGGCCTTTGGATCATATTCTGAGTTGACATCTTCCTCACCGATGGAGGGCTATCTGGCCGACGGAGGACCCGGTGGGTGACAGCTGTGCCTCATTCTTCTGAGTATGTGGGTCATGGGGTGTGGACTCAAATAGTCCATCAACCCCTAACTTACATATGTAATATACATACCCCGAACTTTACAT